AGCATCCTCTTCTGGGAGGCTGCGGTCACGGCCTTGACTGTCCTTACTTCTTGAACATGTTCGTGAACGCAGGCCTTGAATATCGCCTTAAAAACAAGGCTGCGGTCACGGCCTTGACTGTCCTTACTTCTTGAACATGTTCGTGAACGCAGGCCTTGAATATCGCCTTAAAAACAAGGCTGCGGTCACGGCCTTGACTGTCCTTACTTCCTGAACATGTTCGTGAACGCAGTCTTTAAATCTTGCCCTAGGGTACCCACACAGTGAAAGCAGGTTTGCCCGCGCGGGCAACCTGCTCAAACCTGCCACAAGAATGAACATAGGATAATAATGTAAGTGTTTACAGTGAAAACCTGTACGAATAGGGCAGCGCCAGGCCTATTTATTTCAATTTAAGGCGCCAGCCTAAGCAGGTAATCAGCACGCTGGCAACCTGCTTTCACTGTGTGGGTACCCTTAAAAATGGGTAGAATGTGTCCCATGCACGGTAGAACGTAGAATGGGTCCTATGCACGGTAGAACGTAGGATGGGTCCTATGCACGGTAGAACGTTGAATGGGTCCCATGCACGGTAGAACGTTGAATGGGTCCCATGCACGGTAGAACGTAGAATGAGTCCCATGCACGGTAGAACGTAGAATGGGTCCCTTCATACACAGTAGAACGTATAATGGGTCTCATTCATTCACAGTAGAACGTAGAATGGGTCTCATTCATTCACAGTAGAACGTGCAGGCAGCTGCACATTGTGCTCATTAAAAGCAAGTTCAGACGGACCTCGCCGCACTGCTGAACTCAACTGAACTACAAGTGCCACGGCCTCGTCATCGTTACTATAAGCGTCGTGGTGTGTATGGCTGTAAAGTCACGTCTCAATCTCGACCTCAGTGATGATACAAGACAAGAGGTTACGTCGATAGTGTTCTTAATTCGGCGCGTGTTACCGTGTATTGATTAATAAAGCGTGGTGGCTAGGATAAATAAATAAAGCGTGGTGGCTGGGATAAATAAATAAAGCGTGGTGGCTGGGATAAATAAATAAAGCGTGGTGGCTGGGATAAATAAAGCGTGTTGGCTGGGAGCTGTGCAATAGCGCCTCGAAGCTGGTACTGCTGGTGCAGCTTGACCAGTTTTTCTTTGACGGCCGCTTGCGTAATTTTGACAAGAGTTCCCTTCTCTTCCTCTGACACAAGTTTCCGAACCTGACGTTTCTTTTTTAAGATGAATAATTCATAACCTGATCATTACAGAGCTTCTGTCTACATTGTAGAAAAGCTTGTGATCACCTAAATTGTTGTCGCTACCTGTGTGATGAACGCAGTTAAGCTTGTGTTGTTTGTACCTGAGATTCCATTGTGAAAGTTCACGCTTAACGTCCTCATGAAATCACCGAATCTCGTGCAACAAGTGTGCCGTGCTCGCCGTGACCTCATATATGAGGTCAGCGACCTGACCGACTATTTTCTGCCAGTCTTGTAAATTAATATGCTTATAAACTTAATTTGTGCACGTGAAACTTACTATACTGCTCAATGCTTTAGCTGTCCTGTTTGCCATTGCCATCTTTCCCGAATAGGTTGGTTGAAGTTTCTACAGTTTTGTATATTTCCGTATATTTTCCGTATAGGTTTGAATGTTCGGTGCAAATCTTGCAGAAATTTTCAGCTAGGTAAGCTAGAAGGCAGGGACTATAAGGCCATATTCTAGACGTTCACTGGGATGTAAATGCATTTTTTGACATGCATCACAAGATGCCCGCTCATACGTACTGAAATCGTAATTCTGATCATTAGTTCATGTCTCACGTAAGTATGCCAGAGTTATTCCAAGAGCTGAGCGCTGATTGGCTGATTTGTTACGACGTCGTAATTATGTACGAGTATCGAAGCTCTAGCGGAAACGGTCGGTAGATAAATTTTTGAGCGTTGACGCTCTTGACGCCGACACTTGCCTGCAAGTAGCGACCACACCTGGGGCCATACTTTCAAAACTCGCCAAGTGAACGTAAGTACTTACGTTCTATTTTGTTGTCTATGATTGGTGGATTTTGATTGAAAAGCCGTCAATGATTGGCTAATGAACTTACGATCTCTTAACTTTTTTTGAAAGTATGTGCCCTGAAATACGACCATCACAACAGGTTACTTACTTATGACCATCACAACAGGTTACTTACTTACGACCATCACAACAGGTTACTTACTTACGACCATCACAACAGGTCACATACTTACGACCATCACACCAGGTTACTTACAGTTACATACGACCATCACACCAGGTTATTTACAACCATCACAACAGGTTACTTTCTTACGACCATCACAACAGGTTACTTACTTACGACCATCATAACAGGTTACTTACTTACGACCATCACAACAGGTTACTTACTTACGACCATCACAGGGCGTGTACCGTGCGTGCCACGCTGTTATAGTGCGTGTACCGTGCGTGAAAAGTGCTCGCAGTGCGGCGAGAAGTAAGCAACAGCATCGTGCATCAGGTGGCCTAAATGAGTACGGATGCCTGATAGTCAGGGCAGCGAGCCATCGTGGCCTGGGACTGCTATGTCCCAAACATTAAAAGGATACTAAGTGCGTGTGTTGCGCGGGCTATTTTTGCGTGTATTGCGCGGGCAAAGCTGTGAACTGCAGGGCAATGCTGTAATGCTCTTCTATAATATCTATAAATACACCGCAGAATAACTTATACTCAAGCACACCGGGACATGGCGTTGCCGGGACATGGCGTTGCCGGGACATGGCGTTGCCGGGACATGGCGTTGCCGGGACATGGCGTTGTTGGGACATGGCGTTGCGGGACATGGCGTTGCGGGACATGGCGTTGCGGGACATGGCGTTGCGGGACATGGCGTTGCGGGACATGGCGTTGCGGGACATGGCGTTGTCGGGACATGGCGTTGCGGGACATGGCGTTGCGGGACATGGCGTTGCGGGACATGGCGTTGCGGGACAAGGCGTTGCGGGACATGGCGTTGCGGGACATGGCGTTCTCGGGACATAGCGTTGCGGGACATGGCGTTGTCGGGACATGGCGTTGTCGGGACATGGC